TCGATCTTTTCACGATAGTAAACTTGGATTATTAATGCATGCGTCTCATGGTTAATAATCTAAGGGGAATTAATTATATTGATTAAACCGATAAACCGCTTGTGTTGAGGTTACCAATCTCAATCGTTATCATCTTGATTTTATTGCTACTATCGGGTTAATATACGGCTCATGTTCTATATTGATTCGGTAGTAAGTTTTATTAATGAACGCGTCTCGTTATTAATAACTACCCTCGATGAACTGGATATACTCCTCGATTGAGTATTCGAGAGGAAGATAGTTAAAGATTTAACCGGGATCGACGAACATTTCATTAAGTGGATAAAAGCAAAACCAAGACTAATTACCTTTGATATTTTATTTCACTCATTTAAGTATTTTATTTTCTTTCTCAATTATCAAAATATCCAATTTCTCCTTCTGTTTACTTTTATTTATTACGCTTACACATACGCGAAAAGCTCCTTTCCCTGTGGATATGAACTCTACTACGCTATATTATGGTATTAGCCCTTAGTAGTGAATTTAATTTGAGGCACACCACGACATTAAATTATAGGGTATATATTAACAACATTCATTGATAAAATCAATTTTTATAGGTATACATTAACAACATTCATACATCAAATACATGTTTGTAGGTATACATTAACAACATTCATACATACATTAATTCATATTTGTAGGTATACATTAACTCATAGATAGATACATTAGTTGTCGGTACACACCGACACTAGTACTGAGTATGTAAGCTGTCTGTGTGTGTCAAAGGAAATACCTCTGCCATCCGCGGTCGTCTTCCCCCTGCTAATTCCTTCCCCGTCAAAGATGTCATCATCCCAGCCGTCAAAGATCAGAACTTCGTTGCCACCTTGTGTCGCAGCTCTACCACCCGTCGCACCTAAGTCTTCATCCCCAACTTTGTCAGGAGCTCCATCTTCTTCATTCAAAAATCCACCATTTCCGTCCTCCGTCGCAGCTCCATCTTGTTCGTTCACAGGTCCACCATTTCCGACGTTTAGAGCTTCTTCGTTTCTTCCATTTCCGAACTCTGTCTTCCGTCGCAGGTAGGAATCGTCCAATGCGCCATCGTTTCCAATCCCATCTTCATCCACCATCAAATATGCTAGAAAATCATCCATGATATTTGCAAAAAAATAAAAAACAGAGAGACAAAAGCGGGAAGAAAGAACGAACAAGGGTGAAGGATGGGAAGAGAAAGAAACGTGCGTAAGGTTGGGGAGGGGAGGGTTGGGCGAGTGAAAGGGGTAAGGAAAGCAGTAAATAATTAGGTCTTATATATGGTGTAACCCAGGGTGTACACCAAGACTTTTTGATAAAAAATACATGTTTTGGTAATTTATAGAAACGTTCAACACTACATCCAATTGTTTTAATGGCACTCTCTTCGGACCTGCTAACCAATGCCAGACAAAGATACAAAAAGTAATGATTCTATCCACTTGGATGGACGTGACCTTTTGTCCAACTGCCGCCTTTGAACGATGAATTTTTTTTATAATTGTTTTTGAGAATTTTCTTCTTGAAATTTAGATTATTTCTATAAAATTTCAATTTAAAATTGAATCAAGAAGTCAATTAAATAATTTATTGAAAACAATTGCGTCAAACTCTATATATAAAATCATAGTGGTTTACAATAATTCTTTTAACGACTTTCAGTTTGAATAATAATCTCAAATTGTATGGGCATAATCTAAAATTCATGAACAATATGCTAAAGAAGTTTCATTAAAAAATTTCATCAAAACAATCACAAATGGCGCCGGCAGGACGGAGGATCCTGTCCAGATAGCTGGACAAGATCTTTTTGCATACATACCATTCTGAGCACCAGCGGCGGACCCAGTGGGGGCCAATGGGCCCCCCATTTTATTCTCCTCGTTATATTTACCCCAAATAGTGTATATGTATTTCTTTGTAGTTTTTTACGCTGTTGCTGCTCCTCCTCCTACGCAAACCTGTGCCCCCGGCTGCTGAGCACTTATACCCAAGTAGCTAGCAAGTGCCCAATTCTAGTGTAACCAAGTTTAGCTAATAGATCACTTTGTCACGGAGTATTTATTCACTGATTATCTTATAAACATAATTCCTTTCATCTTCCTTAATCAATCATCCTCCATGCATATCTTTTCTGCTTTCCTCCTTCTTGCGATGATCTTCAAGGTCTCAAAGCTGCCGCTCAAACATGTTCTCAGACCGCCGGAAACTTCACAGCGAACAACACCTAAGCCGCGAACAGAGCTCTCCTCCTCTCTAAACTGTCCTACAACATTACCTCAAGCTACGGCTTATTCACGAACCCCACTGACGGCCGCGACGCGGACAAAATTTATGGAATTGCCCTTTGTGGGGTCGATTCAACCTCTGAAACCTGCACCAAATGCGTCAATACTGGAACTAAAACCCTCACAGGGAGTAGATCACTTGGGCAACTGAGAAATCCACTCCGTATATTGTGAGTTATTCAAACCGTTACTTTTTCGGGGAATTGGACCTTTCTCCTAACCTGAAAGCTTTTAGAACGGATGTGTTCGAAGCGGATGAATTCGAACCGTTTGAGAAGGTTTAGAAACCTCAAGTCTGGAATTAAATAACTAACTAATGCTTCTAACCTAGGAAGCAGGGAAACTCTTGTAGAGATTACTCTAAGGAAACTCTCTAAACTAGCTTTTTTTGAACAAAAGTGCGCTTTTCTCATTTCCATTTTCCTCATTATTTTCGCGTTTCCGTGCAACATAGCTTCTAACTTTTATAACTACCGAACTCTCATAGTCTCATCTCATCTAGTCTTTTTAGGCATGACAATGGGTCGGGGCGGGGCGGGGCGGGTACTGCAAGACCCAGACCCGCCCCGTGACTTGGCGGGGCGGGTCCGCCCCACCCCGTGACCTGCACGGGTCCAAACTTGTTGACCCATGACCCGCCCCATGCGGGGCGGGTCCGCCCCGCCCCGCCGTAACCTAATTAGCTAGTATGTATTTTTATTTGTGGGAAGTTGTTACCAATTGAATCTACATAAAGTTTATCTCTAAATAATAATTAAAAATTAATATATTAAATCAAATTCATGATACCCTAAAAATTTCAAAAATTAAGGAAAAATTACTCAGACTTGAATAGTTAATCTATTTGATTATACTAATAATTGAACATATGTATTAAAATGCTATATATAAAGAAGTCATCTCATTCTAATATATGTATTAATATACTTCGTATATTATTAAATCAAAGAATTTATGATTTACTGTATATACAAATATGTATGTTGAAGCATATTTGTAGTATAATTCAAGAAAAAGTATGTATGCTTATGTATTGAGCGGGTCGGGGCGGGTCGGGGCGGCACGGGTCAATACTAATACCCGGACCCGCCCCATTTGGAAGGCGGGGCGGGGCGGACCCGCCCCAAATGTCTCAGGCCAGGGCGGGTAACTGCGGGTCGGGTTTTTTTGACATCCCTAAGTCTTTTCAAGGGAGATGTTTGGAACTGGTCTCCCCCAGCTTAAAAAAAAATTGCTTCTAGAAGTGAATTAGAGACTATAAGGTAGTGTTTGCAATCACTTAAAAAAAAGCACTTCTCAGCTTTTGGCTTTAAAAAGCACTTATTTACCAAACACTATCAATTTTTTCTTTTTCTCGGCTTGCGTGTGAAAAGTGCTTTTCCCCTTTCTATTACACAAAAAGCACTTATTTTACCAAACACTATCAACTTTTACTTTTCAAAATCACTTTTTTCTCAAACACTATCAACTTTTCCTACTAATCACTTTTTCCTTACATCTCAAAAAGTGCTTTTTTTTAAGCAGAAGCAGTTGCAAACACTCTCTAAGTACTACTGCACTTTCACTTGAAGGAGCAGAAACAGTTTCAAGAATCAGATCCAAATATCCCCTATATTTGATTTGTTTAGGTTTGATTTAGTCTGTTATAACCAAAGTCTCATTTAGTTTAGTCTTTTTAAATCTAATCTCATTTGTTCCGGGCAACTTTTTACTTTTTTTTTTACTTTAGTTATTATTGAGACGACTACGTCAACTTAATTTGGAGTTCCATTTCCGCGTCCACGGCTTCCTGGAGGACTCAGAATTCAAATTCAACTCACTTATACTGAGTAGTAATCGGCCAACATCAACAGTCCTAGGCTGCTATTTTCATGTCCAAAACACAAGAAGATACATACCTTCCGAGTGAGCACATTTATCAAGTAGCTAGGTAAGCTAGCAACTATCCAATTTTACTGTAACCAACTTTTGCTCATAGAACATTACGGAGGTCATCTTCCTTAATCAATCAGGACCTCCATGAATATCCCCTCTGTTCTTCTTCACCTTCTTCTACTTCTGACGATCTTCAGTGGTCTTGAAACTTCAGCCCAGACATGTTCTCAGACAGCCGGAAACTTCACAGCCAACAGCACCTACGCCGCGAACAGAGCTCTCCTCTTCTCTGCCCTGTCCTCCAACATCACCTCAAGCTATGGCTTCTTCATGAACACCACAGTAGGCCGTGGCGCGGACAAAATCTACGGAACCGCCCTTTGCAGGGCCGATTCAACCCCTGAAACGTGCACCAAATGCGTCAATACGGGAATCAAACAACTCACAGACACCTGCCCCAACCAAATTGAAGCCATCAATTGGGCGTGGGAGAGCTCCTTTCAGTGTGTCGTTAGGTATTCGAACCGTTCCTTTCTCAGAGAATTGGACCTTTCGCCTACCTCTGTAATGTATAACACGGGCGAGTTCGAAGCGGATGAATTGGAAGAGTTTAAGAAGATATGGGCGAGTCACATCTCCAGCTTGATTGCCAATGCTTCCAGGGAGACGAGGATCAAGTATGCTTCCGGTGAAGCGAGTTTACCGTCGAGCTTTCGGAAAATATACGCCGCGACGCAGTGCACTCCAGATCTATCTCAGCCTGATTGTGACTCTTGTTTGAGAGCCGTCGTGACAGCTTTTCAGGATTGTTGCGGTAAAAACAAAGGAGGTTTTTCCAATAATCCGAATTGCATATTTCGCTGGGATCTGTATTCCTTCTACAATACTTCCTTTACTGTAATTCATCCGCCTCCGCCTCCGCCTCCGGCGACTCTGCGTTCTCCTCCGCCCCTCAATACCACCTATTCCGGAAGTATGTATGAACTGGATCTCCCCTTCTCCCATCTTGTTTAGATTTAAAATTTATAAAATTAAACGCTAGGGTATACTATTCCACGCATCCGATTCGATTGCTTTTGGATGTACAGATGGGAAGAGCAAATTTCGGACCGTTTTGTATATTGTAGTGCCAATTGGATTAGCGTTGTTGTTGGTGCTTGTTGGTATCGTCATTTTCAGGCAGAGGAAGCGAACGTCAGGTGAATTGTTTTCAGAGGAAAACGAGTATAGTGGTGGGGCAGAGTGTCTGCAATTCAACCTTGCCGCCATTAGAGCGGCGACTAACAACTTCTCCGATCACTATAAGCTTGGTCAAGGTGGGTTCGGCCCTGTTTATAAGGTAATTGTAATTCTGCCTTTTAACGTTTTAAAATATGCTGACTTTTACCATGCTATCAGTTTTTGGTATCATGATTCCCGGCGTTTTTGTTGTGAGTGCAATTTTGTTTACCGCTTCTTGGAGGTTGAACATAACCCCCTCCCTATTTACTTGCCATGTGATAAAAAATTGGTTGATTCTACCAAAATTTATGAAGTTTTGGATAAAGTGACTGTATTAGCTGATTCTGCAGATTCACGAAAAACATATATTTAAAATATTTGTTATTCATAAATTAAATAAAAAATTATATGAAAAATAGCTAAAATGATCTTCTACGATAACTTCGGCCAATACATCCAGAAAAGTAACTTCAATCTTACTTTTTCTGCTTATTACAAAATTCAGCGCGCGAAATCAAAAGTTACGTGTTTGGTGAAAAAGCTGACTGATAAGTCTGATAAGCCGAAAAAAAGGGTCACCAAACAGGCTCTTAGTTTATACCCTTACGGCATGAGTGATGAGAAAGTTGGATTAATGACCAAAAATTAAAACCTGCTGCGTGTAATCCATGTGGACGAAGGTTACGAGCCCGTTTGGTAGCACGAAAATCGGCTGTTTTGGCTGATTCTGCTGAAATTTATGAAATTCTGGCTGAAGTGGCTATTTTGGCTTATTATGCTGATTTAAGAAAAAAAATATTTTAAAAAAATATTTTATTAATAAATTATAGAAAAAATTACATGTAAAAATAGCTAAAATAGTCCTCTAGAGTAACTTCAGTCAATACAGCCAGAAAAGTAACTTCAACCTTACTTTTTCTGCTTATTACACAATTCACCACACAAAAGTAAAAGTTACGTGTTTGGTGAAAAAAGCTGACTGATAAGCCTGAAAAGCCGAAAAAAGAGGTCTCCAAACGGACTCTACATCTCCACACGATTTTTACATAAAATTAACGATTATAAATTTAATTCATTAACAAATTATCGCTAGTATGAGTATATTATATATATACTAGTGTATGGAAATCCATAAAATTAGTTTGGGCACCGTAAAAATCTCTTTAAAAAGTACTACTACCTCCATCCCTTAAAAGCATCTTCAATGCTACAATGTGCACAGTGCACATGTCGTATGAGATAGATAGACAAAAAAATTAAATTTATGACATTGTCAAGAAAAATTTACCAAAATGATACAAGATCCTTCAAATAAGGAGAGAGATGTTCCATTTATTATTTTTTAATTGGCTATCTTTCATGCCACGTATGCACTGTTCACATTTTAGCATTGGAGATGCTATAAGTTTGGAACAAAGGGGTGTGGTGTGGTTTTTAAGAAAAAATAGAAATGTGTGGTTGGTAATGAATTGATAAAGCGTAAATAAAGTAAGAATGAATTGTAGCCACCCAAATATTACCAAATATGGTATGAGACAAACTTAAAGGGACAGACGAAAAAGGTAAAACATGACAAAGTTAGGGGGACGGAGGGAGTACGTACTACGGAGAGTGTATTGTATTAGGAGTTGGTGACAAATTTTTAAAAGTCCATGAACTTTAAAAGTTTAAGTGTATTCAATGTGGACTTTTAAAAGTCTAGGCGTATTTAAATTTTTCATTCATTCTTATGAAATTCTAAAATCACGAATTCTCGTGGACTTTTAACTCATTTTTAGTACATTAATTCTCTGCAATTGTCTCTTCTTTTATAAGTTTTCTTTTACATTCACATAATTGTAAATAAAATGATTGAAAAAGTAAAAATTGTAGTTGAAATTTGAGTCTAATAAAATGAAATGTTGTGGATCACACATTACTTTCCAAACAAGCAAATACAACACATATTTTGCGGCAACCCAAAAAAAAAGACATGTAAAATTGGATGAAAGGATTAATTAAGCCAAAAAACAAGTAACATGCGGAAAACATCATTTGTATATATACAACATGTCTATGACATTGGATTGCGCGTCTAGAGGAAACGAGAAAAGTGTCAGTTTAGTACATCAAGTTGTAAGCGGTGGAGTAAAGAGTACATCATTTTGCAAGTGTGATCGAGAGGTACATGAAATCGTCAAATCAGTGCTAATTGAGTCCATCGATGTATTAGAACGTTTAAAACGCCTAGGTGGCAAAGAGATTAGTGATATGGCTAAATAAAAGCCACCTCATCAGCTAACTTGATGTCAGCCTTGCCTAGCCTCCTCTGAACCAGCTCATCCTTTCCTCACAGGGCTATCATCTCTGAACCAGCTCTCCTTGCCTCCTCGGAATCAAACCAACACCCACCTATAACATCTAAAATCTTTGTACCTGTGACATCGGAATGAAACCTAAGAAATTTGTCATGAAAATATAGGAAACTAAAACCCTTTTTTTCATCAAAAGGTACTAGATGGAGAGACAGATAGAGAAGAAAATGTATGGTGTTGATTTTGCCAAAGTGCATGCTATTGGGAGAGACAATGGATGCATTATTGCTTCGTCTCATGTCATTATAAATTGAGCCTATGTATATAAAAGATTTCATCAAAACTTCCACATTTAATTTTATTTCAACGTAAAATGCATGGGTATATTAATTTAATATACACAATTACAAAAGCAGAGAAAGTGACTAAGAGGGAATTGGATACTTCATCTACAATCAAGAAGAGCACCTTCATGGACCATGGTGGTGAAAGGGAGCAGAGTGAGATAGTTTTCTGACGTGAAATAAACGTCCACAGTCACCGCCGTTACTCCAACCGTCATCATATCTACACAAAATACACAAATTAAAGATGACTATTGCTCGAGTAAAGAAGAACAGAAGAATAAATAAAAAGAAAAGGATCTGGGGACTCTGGGAGAAGGACAGAAAACAAAACAAAATTAAAGCGTTTGGTTTGATGTGTGAATCTTGAAGATATCTTTGCAATAGAGAGTTAATAGGATATCAGAAGGGGTTCTTTTTCGTTAATTACAAATTTACAAATCTGTCAAAATCGACTTCAGATTTGTCCTCTTTACAATGGTTCTTGAGCTATCCTTCGGATTTAGTGTAGGTCGTCGGCTCAGTATAGATTCTTCAGTGCAAAGATTCCAGACGCCACAGGCGGGCTTTGGTTTAATTTCGATGAGGCAAGGAAGAGCGGGTACAGAAGAGGCTACGCAAGGGTGACTTGAGGACTTGAGGTGGCTTTTATTTTGCCATATCACTAATCCCATTGCTACCTAGGCGTTTTAAACACGCTAATGCACCAATATACTCAATTAGCACTCATTTGGCAATTTCATGTACCTTTCAATCACACTTGCAAAGTGATGTACTCTTTACTCCTCTCCTTACAACATGGTGTACTAAACTGACACTTTTCTCTAGAGGAAGCTATGCACCAGTGAAGTTCACACGGGCAACAACGGACCATAAATAGACATTGGGTTGCAAACTTGTGAGTGTACTATATGACACAAAATACAATGTTTGAGCACAAACACCGGTGTTAACAATGTCTGCAACTTTGTGTACATCAAACATGATTTTAAACACATTAAGGGAGTGTTTGCAACTGCTTGTGCTTAAAAAAGCACTTTTGGAGATGTAAGGAAAAAGTAATTAGTAGTAAAATTTGATAGTGTTTGAGAAAAAAGTGATTTTGAAAAGTAAAAGTTGGTAGTGTTTAATAAAATAAGTGCTTTTTGTGTAATTGAGAAAAGGAAAAGGGAAAGTTCCCGAAATATGACTAGAACAGTTTGAAAATTCCAAAATAGGACTGCCAAGTTTTTTACTCCCAAAATAGAAGTAATTACTGCCAAGTTTGGAAAATACTGCCATGTTTGAAGTCTGGTACTGCCAAAACATGGCAGTAATTAGTCCTATTTTTTGGAAATAAAAACATGTCAGTCTTATTTTGGAATTTCCAAACCTTTTTAGTCCTATTTTGGGTAAATTCTCAAAGGAAAAAGCATTTTTCACACGCAAGTCGAGAAAAAGTAAAAATTGGTAGTGTTTGATAAATAAGTGTTTTTTTAAATCAAAACTCGAGAAGTGCTTTTTTTTAAACTGTTGCAAACACTCCCAAAATGGCGTAGAGCAACATTATTTTTAGTAGGGGTGTGCACGGGTCGGGTTCGGGCGGGTCGGGTTTGCGAACCCTAAACCCGTTCGGGTTTTTTAATTTAAATACTAGGCCCGACCCTTTGATATTTCAAATCGGGTATTTCGGATATTTTTATGTCGGATATTATCGGATATCGGGTCGGGTTTCGGATATTTCGGTTATATTAAAAAAATTATAATTGGATAATTAAAGTGTTTAAATGCCACTTTGACAAAAATTGTATACACTAGTGCACTAAACTTCCAAATTACACAAATATTTTAACACAAATTGCACAAATAATTACACAAATAATTGAACACAAGTATTAATTTAACATATTCAAAGTACACACTACGTAATTTAATATATTTCGGATATTTTGGTTATATCAAAACACATTATAATTGGATAGTTAATTAACATGTTGGAATGCCACTTTAACGAAAATTGTATACACACTAGTTCACTAAACATTCAATTTACACAAATAATTTAATACAAATTGCACAAATAATTACACAAATAATTGAACACAAGTATTAATTTAAATATTCAAAGTACACACTAACATATATTTCGGATATTCGGGCGGGTCGGGTTGGGATTTCACAAACCCTACCCGCCACCCGGTCTAGGCCCAATACTAATCGGATATGCGGTTTCGGGTTTTTCGGGTCGGATATCCACTTCGGTTCGGATAATATCCGAAAAAAATATCGGATTTTTCGGGTCGGATCGGGTTTTGCTCAGCCCTAATTTTTAGTTGTATTTCTTCAAAAAAGTAATGATTAAAGCACTTTTGAGATTCTAAATATATCTTGATGTCTTCTCCTATCAGTCATTGCGGATCGACTAAACCTGTTGTTGATGATCTTCGAAAAAACAGCTAGTGATAGTGATTTATGAGACGACAATTGTTAGTGGCAGTGGCTTGTAAGACGTCTTAGGGCTGTATCACTAATATTGTCACATGCATATTAAAACATCAGAGTGATTTAATGCACACTTTTTTGGGTTATTTCTTTTATCTTTTTCATGAGATTGTCAAAATCCATATTTTTGGTTTGGCTATTCTTGATGTACCCACTCTTATACCCACCTTATATCCACCATGTTTGTGAAGTGTTTTTTTTTGTCTGTGAACCCGCCTCACAGACAATATTTTGTCTGTGCAAAATATTGTATATGAACCGGGGTTCACTGACAAAAAAAAACACTTCACAAACATAGGTGCGTACAAAAGTGGGTATAAGAGCAGGGGCGGATCCAGGATTTCATGTTGAGCTGGGCTGAAACACTTAAATAATAATACATTGAAAATTTTCAAAATAAACAAAAAATCAAATATAAGAGTTCTCCATTAAATTTGTTCTCATCAACGAGGCTTTGAAACAAAACGAACCAATCAACAATAGAGTCTACATCTATACTAAGAGTAATGTCTTTTTTAGTATAAAGTCATCATCCATTTTGTTGAGGAGTGTGGCCTTTAGAAGTTTTATGGCATAAAACGAGCGTTCTAATTTGGGTTTTTTATGAGAATATTACTCAAATAAAACTTATTTACATAAATATGACTATTCATTACTACAACGTAGTGCTGTGGTAACTAAAGTTCAAAACTTGAACATGAATTACTATGATTTCATTACTACTCTAGTGCAAAAGAACACTAAGTTCAACAAAAGGAAAATCAATCTACTCATCATAACATATGAATCAAATTTTCTGCTCTTAGTCAACTCCTCACATAATTCAACAAATGTAGATACTAAAACTTTGTACATGAATATATCATGAACATCGTGTTGCAGCTCGAATTCTAAAGCATGAATGTCCTGACTACTAAAATTTTCGGGATAGAAATTCCTTGCAAGAGTACAAATAACATTGACATTGGATGACCCATATAAATTTTTGGGATCCAATGAAGCACTCAAAGAAAGGAGTTTTACTGATTTATCATTAAATCGGGTCCTTAACTTCATCAATACAAAGTCTATTGCCTCATTGAAAACACCAAAGTGATAATGATGTTCAACTGTAGTTTCTTTCTGCAATGACCAACCGTATATTCAAAATTCAACTTTGGTACATGAATTTCATGTTGAGCAAAACTCCTTCACTTCTTCAAGAAAGCCTTCCCATCCGTTTTTTGTCAATTCCTCTAGAATGATCGGTTGTGTAATGGAAAAATGTCTCTCACGGCTAACAAGATATCAAATAAAAATTTCGAAGACCTTGACAGAATTCATTATTTCCATAACCAAGCATTCCAGCCCAGCTGATTGTGAGGTTACCGTGTCTAGTGGGAGGTCTCGAGTTCGAAATCCGCTAGGCACACAAGGATGCGAAACTCAATGGAATGAGTTTCAGCCCTGATTACTCTAGGCTCCCCCCCTTCCCCCAGACCCCCTTGGAGTAAAAAAAAACAAGCAAAGGATCACAAATTCAAAACATGAAGTGTTTATGTACACTACGAACTTATGCCCAAGAACTCACTTTTGGGCAATGTTTTTGAAAATACTCAAGTACTTTAAAAGTTGTTGTGAACATGTCAATAAAGTCCTTATATGTATATACTAAGTGCCAATTATTAAGTATGAGGGTGATGTGTATAACATTTAGATTAGATTTTTAGATGCTAAGATTTTGTATTATGGGCTGGGCTGAGAAATTGGACTGGGCTATAGAAAAATTTGGGATGGGCTGGATGCAATTTTTTAAACATAATACCTTAAAAATAATAATTTTTTTTACTTTGCCATGGGCTTCAGCCCACCATAGCCCTAACATAGATCCTCCCCTGTATAAGAGTGGCTACAAACATCAATTTTGTAAGATCTAATACCATGTACTCGGTACTCAGTATACTTTGGTCTGATGACATTACATTTGTTTTTGTTGGTTTAGCTTTGGTATTTGATTCAGTCTAATTTATAGTGAAATAAATCAAAGTCAAAAGATCTTTTACAACGTACTCTCACTATTTGGCTCTACAATTTAGGGCGTGCTCTCAAACGGGGAGGTCATAGCAGTGAAAAGATTGTCCAAAAATTCAAATCAGGGAGAACTTGAATTTAAGAATGAGGTGATTTGCGTTGCAAGGCTACAACATCGAAACCTAGTCAGGCTTCTAGGCTTTTGCCTTGAAGGAATAGAAAGGCTTCTCATTTATGAGTTCCTTCCCAACTCAAGTCTTGACCATATGATATTTGGTAAGTATAGTTTTTGGAAACCTCCTAAGTGATGGACAAATATATTTTCATTTGAATTTTAAACCTTAAAGGATTGGTTGATTGAGGATGATATTTTCATTTAATATGTATGTAGATGCAAACAAGCGCAGAAGGTTCGGTTGGGAGACTCGTCATAACATAATTGTGGGAATAGCAAGGGGACTTATTTACCTTCATGAAGATTCTCAACTCCGAATCGTTCATCGTGATCTCAAAGCTAGTAATATTCTTTTGGATGACAATATGAATCCTAAAATATCAGATTTTGGAATGGCAAGGTTATTCGAATCAGACGATCAAACAAGAGACGTCACTCATCGGATTGTCGGCACCTAGTAAGTTCAAAAATTCCAGTTTTATCCTCTGCTTACGCGTTTAAATAAATTTTAGACCACTTTCAGAAGAATTAGTGCCATTTCGTTACATGTTTTACAATTTTATCAGACAACTTTATCATACACAAGTTTTTTAAAGTTCATGTAGGCATTTGATAAATAATCAAAAACTTAATTACTAAAATTAGGTGCATTTTTTGGCGAGTAGGTTGGATTGAATGACGGACAATTTAAACTGTTTCCATAAATTTTATTCTCTACATTATTAATCACTCCATATAAAATAGTGCAACGTATGCACTATACCTTGTCGCTATATATCTATTCAATAATTGTTTGAATTCATTAAATCAACCATTTTTACCTAAAACATTTTTTATTATCGTCAAAACGGCTTTCATTAAAATAGAGCAAACATGCAAGACAATATTCAGACAGTTATTACATATCCGATCGCGAGCCCTAGTAATAGACTTAAAGTTAGCTACCCATACAAAGCAATCTGACTCGCTAGACACAAAACGGGCAAGAATAAGCCTAAAACGATCGAAAATGAAGCACTGCCTATCAAATGTTCATCAAAAATCAAAATACTCCAACTATACCTACTCGAACTGAAATAAAAACAAGTACTACGTACTAAAGGAAAAATAATGCGAAAATAGAAACTTTCCCAAATTGCTTCTTTGTTCGGAGGTGGTTCCGGAGGCGGATGAGCTGCTGTAGTATGGGAGAAGAGAATTTCGAGCCCTGGAAAATTCGTCTGAAACCCTATCCTTCTTGCGCTCGCCAATTTGCTTCTTGAGGTTTATCATTGAAATCCATGTCCGAGGTGCAGAAGAGATCTCTATCATGTTGCCTTTGTAACTAATTGCCTGTAAAATTCCTGAATCAGCCCGTCCAAGAAAGGATTCCAGACCGGTACGAATCACTGGTGCAAATAATAGCCTTCCTTGGATCCAACCGTTCGAAATTTCCCTGGATCAAACCGTCCAAGAAGGATTTCCAATCGACCGTCGATTGTAGCTGATAAGAGGCGCAACCCAAAACACGTCGGACACCGCCGATTAAATTGACCGCCGGAAAAACAAACCCTAGCCGCCGATTGAGGTCGTGCGTTGGGAGAGCAGTTCGAGCGCTTTTAGCGTTTTTTAGTACTCCGCGTAACTCGGCCTCACCTAAAACATTAATAACTTTAGAAATTTATAGTCGATTCAACAAATATATTCTACTAAAAAAGATCTTATTAGTAGAATTCGTATTTTGTTCAGCCTAGTTGCGAACAAAATAATTGGTATAGGAAATCAACATACTTACGTGGTCTAGACGATACTCGATCTACACATAGTGTGCACCTATATATAGCTTATCACAATATTTGGTTTTTAATGCATGAATGAATCATAAAATGTAGTGGCTATATGGCTCCGGAATATGTTATACACGGTCAGTTCTCGAGTAAATCTGATGTTTATAGCTTCGGCGTGTTATTGCTTGAAATAATCACCGGTGAAAGGATTAAGAGCTTTCGTGGAGGGGAAGATGAACAAAGTCTTGTTGACTATGTAAGCTATGCACAAAATTATGTATTTTACTTTCAATCTATTGTGTAAGTTAACTACATGCATGCGCCCACGCACACACACACGAACTCTCACACACCCACACGCGCACACACGTACATGCACACACAAGTACACACTCACGCGCACACACGCACAAATATATACATACACAAAAATACACAAAAAATACACACACATATATCATACACGCATACATTAGTGATTAATCAAATTTAATTAAAATAATGTACTTTGCAGGCATGGAACATGTGGAATAAAAGGACACCGTTGGATCTAATTGATTCCACTATGCCATCGTTTAGTACTTTCACAGGCGATATAATAAGATGTATTCATATTGCGTTACTATGTGTGCAAGAAAATGTGGGAAGTAGACCAACCATGGCTTCGGTGGTTCTAATTCTTAGTAGCAGATCGGTTATTATGTCAAGACCATCAAGACCCGCATACATTCTTCACTCCATGACGCAACAACATACATCATCATCGTCATCATCGTCAAGTGCCCACAATAACTCACACTCTACCTCAACTAGAAGTAGTAGCCATGCTGAAAGAAGTTCTCGGAATGAAGTTTCTATATCAGAGCTAGAAGCTCGATAACCCTACACATCTCTCATTTTGTATAATTTCAATATAAAAAGATGAAAGGGTGTTAAAGACGTGAAACATGATAATGTAATCATGTCGACGTTAAGCTTTTAGGTGGGGGAGGGTATAGTGTGGTATTATTATGATTGGTTTTATTATTTTGCAGTAATCCTTAACTGAAATAAATAAAGGCGTAATGCCGAAAATCGGACACGGGAGTCATCGAAAGCCAAAAATAAGATGAGATCCCATTTTGGACAAATCTAAGACTAATAGAGGTGTGAAATGTCACAACTGCTCCTGATATTTCCTTCTCCATCCCTGCGTGTCTTATACACCGAAGGAGACCAGCCCATGCGAGTCTTATGCACTGAGGGAAACCAGGAAACCGGTGTTCAATCTAAACCGCCGAATCCAATTATTATTTTAACACGTTTTCACCTTTTCTTGGTGGGAGTAACTATAGGATCAAACTGTTGGCTCCCCCTTCGGGATTGACCTTCCGAGATCCCGAAGGGTTTGAGGGTCGTTTCCTCGGCCCGAGACATCGTCTGTTGCCTGCTTCCCCTTGGGGGATAGCGCAGAAAGCGCCTCGGTTTTGAAAGTCGTCCCCTCAGCCCGAGACATGGTCTGTTGCCTGCTTCCCCTTGGGGATAGCGCGGGGAGCGTTTCGTTTTTGAAAGTCGAATCCTGGGCCCGGGACATGGTCCGTTGCCTGCCTTCCCTTGGGGAATGGTGACAGGCCAAAATGTGTAGTGTGACATGGTGTAAAAATGTGAATGAAAATGATGTTTTAATTGGCTTGTAACGATATAGTATAGAGTAAGTGAGTATCGTTCCGCTAGAGAATGGCTCAAAAAGAGAACTAGAATTAATGATTGATTTTTAGCTAATCACAAATTGATACATTTTGCAATGGAGCTAAGTGAACAAATCTTTGTTTGTTTTGTTTTTATGATTACAGAATTGCTAAATGAGTAAAATAAATCAAAATACTTGGTAATTTAACAATTAATGATATAGAGAAAATTAGGCTTGGGCTAAGAGTAAATTTATTATGATGTTCATAAATAATAAAGATTTAACTGATTAACATGGTTACTTTTAGGTGTGTGAAAGATTTTCAAATGGTAATCTTCTAATCGTTCCCACGACTTAGTTGATTACACTATCTTAAATTAATTTCGCTCCCGCGGTAATTTTATTAAGACAGTAAAAAGTACAAAATCAATTTATCCTAAATTCCTTAGCACTTCAGTGTAGCAATTTAGTGGGTGAATTAAATAAATGGATTTTAATGAAATTTCACTCCCGTGATAATAATATCCATTTCCAATATTAATTTATTTAGCAGATTAGAGTATTCAACCCAACACTCCTAAAATTAACCAGTTAATAGTTTTAACCAATTATTATCTTATGAACATTTATAGTAAAAATTACATCTTGCCCAAACCTAAACTAATTTAGTTACACATAATTATAGTGAACAATATAAAAGTGAAAATTCATGCTAGACATATTTAACTTAACAGATTAAAGAAATTAAAGTGAGTGTTTAAATAAGAACCTGAAGGCATAAATATTCAAGAACATAGAAGAGCTGGAACAGAAAAGATTGAAATTCTCAGATTAAGCTGGAACTGATTAACTTCGAACTGATATCTCCAAATGAACTTTATTATTGAAATATATAGAACTGAAATTCTGGAATGGAAATTACAAACTGAATTTTTACAGAAAGTGTTCCTGAAAGAATCACTTTTATTTTATTGCTACTACTATGAACAAAGCTAAAGAAAAAAGAGGGAGATTTCTCTCCGAATTGGTGTGTTCTTTGCAGCTCCCAAATGGCTCTTTATATAGACAACTTCAGAATAACTTGGAGCACAAAAGTCATATGATGAAGATGATGATGGAATTGAGTTCCTGTTGAAGAATAGTGCTATGGACTCATTTTTCTTCTTCCTCGCGGCGCCTGAAATGAAGTCTAGTGGAACTTTTGGCTTGTTGCTCAATGATGAAGATGGTACGTATGTAGATATTCAAATGTGTGGAAGAAACTAAAGGCCATCACTATTCATGGGTCCCTCTATATTTATTTCTTTACATCTTGAGAGTTGAGACTTGAGAGCTCTCAATTCATACGTATGGGTCTCTTTCAATATTCACAAATGAGTGAATAGTTTTGTCAGCCAAAGTTTTGGCTTCACTTCCGCCACTTGCTTAGTTTGGCCAGTTAATTGTTTGATCAGTTAACTGGTCATCAATTAACCGGTACATTTTATTGCGGACAGTCTGACTTAAATAGAAATGTATTTCGGGACTCTTGATAAAATATTCTGGAGTTAAAGTAAGGATCCAATTCAACGTGATGATTTTTCCGTCTTCACTCGGGAGTAATATTTATTTCTTTTCAGAAATTAATATACGTCCCGAATTGTCCTGAAACTCAAAAATATACCAAAACAAGTGCAATACCTTAAAATGTCCAAGATGATAAAGATCAATCCTTTTTATTTAAAAATAAGAAATAAAGTATTAAAAGTGTGACAAAACAAGATCATAAATATGGTAAATTAGGAGTACATCAAATGGCGCGGAAAGCGTTTCAGGGAAGGGTTTTATTTGTGTATGTAGCACAAATAGCCGGGGGCACTTGGTACCCGCCGGAGCCGAGGGCTAGTGTACCCCCCGTTTTTTTTGTTTTTATTTTATTTTATTTTATTTTATTTTATAGGAGAGTATGTATAAATATGCATAATGTATGCATGAGGGCGTCCTCGTGGGGTACTTCTTATGTAAAAACACTTGGTGTTTTAAGAGTGGGGGTGTATCCCGCTCACTTGGTACTTGGTACCTTGATTGGTGATGTCGTATTTTGTTCATCCTTATGAAAGGAAGGGGCCTTGGGCCGTATAAGTGAGTGATGAGGGCTTGGCCGCTCATTCTCATCTTGTACTTGGTACTTCGTGTTCAAACACATATTTATTCTCTTAAGGAAGAGGGGGCCTTGGGCCATTGATCGTTTATGTTGGTGAGGGATGAGGGCTTGGCCGCTCATACATTACTGATAGAATTTGACAAGATGGTGTACATTCCAATGTCTAGGGACCTCCGTTCCATTGGGGCGTCTTAGCTTGTAAGTCCCTGACTTGATGATGGCGGTGACGATGTAGGGGCCCTCAAATTTGGGTTCCATTTTTCCTCCTTCGGTGGGTAAGCTGGCCTCCCTCCGTCGGAGGACGTAGTCCCCCACCTGAAATTTGCGGGAACGAACTTTGGCGTCTATGTAGCCCTTGACTTGTCATCGATAGTTCTCAGCCCTGAGGAAAACTTGCTACCGGCGTTCAGAGATGAGATGAAGGTCGAGGGCCATATTAACGTCGTTGACCCCAGGTTCATATTGTTCCACCCTTCGGGTGGGAAGAGTTACTTCCGTTGGGGCCTTAGCCTTGAAGCCATAACACAGGGAGAAGGGTGTTTCACCTGTTGCCCGCCGAGGGGTGGTGCGGTAGGTCCACATGATATTGTGTAATTCTTCTACCCAACCTCCCCTTTCGGCTTCCAATTTCTTTTTTAATCCTTCGAGGAGGGTGCGGTTGACGTTCTCCACTTGACCATGGCCCTGGGGGTAGGCAACTGATGAGAAGGTGTGTTTGATGCCCCATGCTTCCAGGAGGGCACAGAAGGGGGCTGCCTCAAATTGAGTGCCATTGTCGGAGATGATCTGTTGGGGGACGCCAAACCTTGTAAGAATGTTCTTGAGAACAAAGTGGCGGCAACGGGCCTCAGTGATGCTGGCGAGGGGCTCGGCTTCCGCCCATTTGGTGAAGTAGTCAATGGCCACAATAATGTACCTGTTGTTGGAGGTACCCCTCGGAAGAGGGCCTACTAGATCAATACCCCATCTAGAGAAGGGTATAGCGGTACTGATGGGGGCGTAGTTGACTGTTGGCCTGCCGGGGGCTTTCTGAAAGTGTTGGCAAGCGGTACACCGTCGGGCAAGATTTGCACAATCACGGGCCATGGTAGGCCAGAAGTAGCCCTGAACAATGAGCCTTCGGGACATGGAGAAGGGTCCCTGGTGGGCTGAGCAAGTGCCACTATGCACTTCCCCCATGGCGACTTCGGCCTCATCCTGATGAAGGCACCGAAGGAGGGTGCCATTGTAGGATCTCTTGTAGAGCCTCCCATTCTCGAGGGTGTAGCTGGGCGCCCTCAGCTTGGCTAATTTCGCGCGGGCTTCATCCTCGGGGAGTTGCCCCGTGGTGATGAAGGTGATGATGTCAGAGATCCAATCCTCCGGCCTGAGATGTATATCCATGATGGGGCTTGCATGTATGCTTGAGAGGTTGAGCTCCTCGATTTTGGGTGAGGGAATGTGCCTCAAATACCTTAAGCAATTCCTTGGCCGCTTCTTTGTACTGCTTCATCCTCCCTTCATTGGCTTCGTATTCCCCAGAGATTTGGCCTACGACAAGTTTCGAGTCGCACTTGACGTGGATCATCTTAGCCTTCAGATTTGCTGCCAGCCGAAGGCCACAGAGGAGGGCCTCGTATTCGGCTTCGTTGTTGGAGACTTTGAAGGAGAAACGGATGGCATAATAGGCGCGGAAGCCTTCAGGTGTTATGATAACTACCCCTCCTCTGCATGCTTTGGTGGCCAAGGAGCCATCGGTATAGAGGGTCCACCAATCGTCCAGAGGTGCCGAAGGCTCCTCATCCACCGCTGATCTCGCGGTGCATTCTGTGACGAAATCTGACAGGGCTTGGCCCTTGATGGCAGGCCTCGGACGAATGTCTATGTTGTGTTGGCTGAGGAAGATAGCCCACTTCACCATTCTGGAAGAGCTGGTGGGGCTCCTCATGAGGGCACCGAGGGGTTGATGTGTGAGTACTTGGACTGGATGAGCTTGAAAGTAATGGCCAATCTTCTTGACGGTCCAAACAATAGCTAAGACCGTTTTTTCCACAGGGGAGTACCTGAGTTCCGTTTCCCTGAGGGTCTTACTAACATAGAAGATGGCATGTTGGACACCATCTTCCTCCGGATGAGTACTGAGCTGATGGCCAAGATAAAGGTATAAGGTCTCTCCCACCTTGGGTTTGGAGAGCACAGGGGAGAAGAGAGGTACTTCTTCAGCTCGTGGAAGGCCTCTTGACACTCAGTTGTCCATTGGAAGCCTGCTGTCTTCCTCATGATTTGGAAGAAGGAGAGGGCCTTTTCTGCTGATTTGGAGAGGAAAC